GCTAGGTGGCACAGTGAATAGAGCATTGGAGTCAAGAGGACCTGAGTTCAAATTCAACCTCAGACACTTGACACTTACCAGCTATGTGACCCTGGGCAAGTCACTCAACCCCAATTGCCTCACTAAAAAAGGGAGGAAAAAAAGAAAGAAAGTCACAAAATTACATAGCTAGAAAGCTAACTGTGTGGCCTTATATCTTAAATTCCTTGTTCCCCTTGAACAAGTCCCTACTTGACTTCTCTGGGCCTCAGTTTCCCATTCTGTAAAATGACAGAGTTGGAGTAGATAGCCTCTCAAGTCCCTTTCAGCGCTAAATCACTTTTCATCCAAATCTAGCTAATGGAGTTGGGTAAAGTCCCCCCAAAAGGGTAGAACATTGAATCCTTTACTCCCTATGGTTCAATCCCTCCCTGCCTTCTCTGTCCCTGCCCCACCCCACACCAAGCCTTGTCTGGCTTCTTGTTTTGGGTGGTTAGAGAACTCCACTCCCTACCCTGTCTTGGGGTGTCTCTCAGGAGAGGTATCATTCTCTGCCTTTTATCCAGACCCCTCCCCAGCTTTCTCACCCCCACCTCCCACCCCACATACACACACTCAGCAGCTGCAGACTTGAAATTGAGACCTAGCCTGCGGTTCATTGTCCTCTAGCACAATTTGGCCCTCCTCTCAGACCCAGCATGTGAGACCCAGACCCACCACAGGCTGAAGTCAGCCACACCCTAAATCCATCTCTCTTGTTTATTCATGAGACATTGCACATAGTAGGAGTTCCAGGTTCATTAAATGAATTCTAGATATGACACTGACTTCGGAAAGCTGACATGTGCTGAGGTCCCTAAGCTCCAAGGTTTCTTGGTTCAACCCGCTCCAGGCCTATCACCCCACTGTGGGTGGGATCTTGTCTCCATTCCTGCCAAGCAGCTGATTGAACCACCTGCCTACAAGGGAGGCCAAGTGTAGCTCAGATGAAAACAGGGTGGGGCATGGAGGAAATAGAGATTTCGGGGTGGGGGAGATAGAATCGAAGGCACACTTTTACAAGAGAGCTGAAAGGACCAGAGACATCTGCAAGATGGTGATGGGTTGGGGGTGGGGTGTGCGGAATGAGAAGGGAGGGATGCAGTGTTGCTGTTCTCTGCAACGATCCAGGAACTGGAGCCAACTTTGTTAACTCCCTGGACCTTTCCAGGAAGCCTTCTTTAATATTATTATTTCCTTACCTCTGAACTTCATTCATTCCATTACTTTATTATCCCTCACATTTGCTATTTATGCTGTCTTTGCCCAGGTACCTAGTGCTGGTTCTTTCTTCCCCATCAGACTCAGGAATTCTGGGACACTTCCTGAGGAAAGGGACTTTATCTCCTTCCATTAGACAACTAGGAGCTTCCTGAAGACAGGAAAAGTGACCCTATTGGTCTAGTGAATTTCTGTATATTCTTTAACTCAAGTGTCACCTCCACTAGGACATCTTCTCTGATCCTTTGCTGTCCCTCCCCCCCCCATCTCTGTAGTAACAAATGTCAGAACTCACATAGGATATTGTATATAATTCTTGAATGCACTTAGAATATTTTTTTATAGAGCACAAAGCACTTTGCAAATATCTCATTTGATGCTATCCACATCCAGAGAAAGAACTGATGGAGTCTGAATGAAGATTAAAGCATACTATTTTCACTTTCTTTATTTTTTTGCATTTTTTCCCTTTTGCTCTGTTTCTGCTTTCACAATACGTATGATATGGAGGTATATTTCCCATGATTGTACATATATAAACCATATCAAATCAAATTGTTTGTCCTCTTAGGGAAGGGGGAGGGAGGGGGAAAATTGGAACTCAAAATTTTATTTAAAAATGAATGTTAAAAATTGTTTTTACATGTAATTGGAAAAAATAAAATACTATTTAAAAGAAAAAAAATAAAAATTTCATTTGATCTTCACAACAACCCTATGAATTAGATGGTGTAATTATCCACATTTTACAGATGAGGAAACTAAGGGAAACATGGCCTAGAATGATATTTTGGTTTCTAGTGGGAAAATGAAAGTTCTGGTAGGTCCTACCTACCAAGCTAGAAATAACCAGGACAGAACGAGTGATGGATTATATTGTATGCCAATGGTCCAAAGACCAACCCAACTAAAATCTGAGGTTACCACCAACTTCCTTGTAGATTATGAAAATCTGGATCTCAACAATTTTCAAATATGATCCTGTCAGTTATAGAGAAGTTGGGATGTCCGGAGGAAGTAGCCACCTTGGCAAATACCACAGATCATGTTTATAATACATGAAGTATTGTATTCTCTAAACTGGAACTGCCCGAGGGCAGTGATCTACAAAGATTTTCCCGTGTTCTTGTTCTGGTGCCATTCCTTGGGAACCTGGGTAAGTTCTGCCACGAATTTACCATGTCACCCCAGGTCAATCACTTTATTTCTCAGGGCCTCAGGTTTTGTCTTCTGTGTAAGGAAAGTTTTCAATTAGATCAGATTATCTTAGTGTGTGTGTATGTGTGTGTGAGAGAGAGAGAGAAAGAGACAGAGAGAGGGAGAGGGAGAGATGAGACTGTTGGGTGATCTGATGAAGACTGTGGACCTCTTCTTTTTAAAAAAAATCTTATTTTTTCCTAATTACATGTAAAGACAATTTTTAATATTCAATTGTTAAAAAGTTTGAGCTCCAATTTTCTCTCTCTCCTTTACTTCTTCCCTCCTAAGACAGTAAGTAATATATGTTCAATCATGTAAAACATATTTCCATATCAGTCATCTTGTGAAAGAAGAAACAGACCTTAAAAACAATCAAAAAAGTAAAAAACAGTATGCTTCAATGTACATTCAGACTCCATCAGCTCTATCTCTGGATGTTGATAGCATTTTTCATCATGAGTCCTTTAGGATTGTCTTGCTGAGAATAGTTAAGTCATTCATGGTTGATCATAATATAGTATTGCTGTTACTATGTACAATGTTCTTCTAGTTCTGCTTATTTCACTCTGCATCAGTTCATGTAAGTCTTTCCGGTTTTTCTGAAATCAGCCTGCTCATCATTTCTTTTAGCACAATAGTATTGCATTACTATCATATATCACAACTTGTTTAGCCATTCCCCAACTGACAGGCATTCCCTCAATTTCCAATTCTTTGCCACCATAACAAGAGCTGCTATAAATATTTTTGTACAAATATCTCCATTTCCCTTTTTTTTCCTCTTTGGGATACAGACCTGGTGGTGGTATTGCTGGATCAAAAGATATGCACAGTTTGTACAGTATCCCCTTGGGCTCTCCAGAATGGTTGGATCAGTTCACAACTCCACCAACAGTGCATTAGTGTTCCCACATTCCTTCCAACATTTATTATTTTCCTTTTCTGTCATATTAGCCAGTCTGATAGGTGTGAGGTACCAACCTCAGAGTTGTTTTAATTTGCATTTTTCTAATCAGTAGTGATTTAGAACATTTTTTCATTGGACCCCTTCTCAGAAGAAGGTTTTTAAGAGCATGAGATAAAATTCATTGGATTACAAATGAAATCAATTATATTGAAATAAAGTTATCAAAATTTTTTCCCCGCTCAAGTTCAAGGACCCCATGTTAAAACCCCCTGGAAATGGTCTCTAAGGACCTGTCCATCTCTAAATTCTATCATTCTCTAAAATTAGAGGTCTTGGGGACTACCTAGGGCTAAGAGAAGTCATGCCCCAATGGTCCTGGACTCTGACATCACAAAAAGACCAGAATTAGGGATCTTCAAACTTCTACCTCCCGTCAAGTATCAACTTTTGGATTATGGGAGCTATCACCACCAATTGGTTATTTTGTTTCTGGGGATCCTGTCCCCTCAAGATTTCCCCTGTAACCATCCTTAATATGAACTAATTAAACCAGCTAGAGCTGGGAGAGGGGTTCCTCTTCCTTCCATTGCTGGGGGCCTCTAGGGGTGACTGAAGGGGCCAAACTCACTTACTTCAGGTACTATGTCTCTCCACACTAGTTCTCTTTGACCTTGGCCCTGGCCTTCCTTCTCCTTGTCTCCTGCTGAGGAAGACTTGGGGAAAAGGGGTCAGCCTTTGGAGGCTGTAATTATGGAAAGTCCCCATGGGCAGCAGAAAGCCAGAGGACCAAGGACAGAAGTGCCTTGATCAGAGTGGGTAATGTACACATCCTGCAGGGAGCTAACTCCCTGGCCTCGTACCATAGGACAGAGGTTCTTAGCTTGTTTTGTGCCATGGAAGCCTCTTCAATCCTTCTCAAAAGAGAATTTTTAAAATGTATCAAACAAAATACATAGGATTACAAAGGAAACCAATTATATTAAAATACAGTTATCAAGATATTAAGGTAAAAAAACAAGTTAATGAAAGTCAGAACATGAAATTCAAGAAACTCAGAACGGGAAGGAACCTCTCAGGCCTCTAAAATGAGGAGGAGCGCAGTATTCCCAGGAAGTCTCCCCTTCTGGAAAGGGTTTAGTGCCGATAGCTCTCTGAGGTTGATAGCACCCCTTTCCGTTTTCAGACTGCACACTGGCTGCACACAACTCCTCTTCCTTAGGGGTGCATGTATTCCCTTCACCACATGCACACATGGCCCGTTGCTCATGTATAAGTATGCACCCCACCCACACGTGCAAATTAACAGCTTTGCTCACACATGTGCCTAAGCCATGTGCCAGGTGCAGTGCCCCCAGAGCCAAACGACTCCGCTGTGTTGCTGAGCCGCGCTAGTACTCAAGTCTGGGGCTGGGGGCTGTCGCCCTGCACTGGAGCCCCACTCCCTATCCCTTCCCCCAGCCCTAGTATGCTTAGGCCCTGGCTTCCCCCAGCCCCTCCCAGGGAACAAGGCTGAGATTAATAAACGGCCAGGCTCCCTCCCCTAATGGGCTCCCAGCTGCACAAACATTCCCAGAATTCAGAGCCGCCTCTGTCTGGGACAACCCAGCTTCAGCCCTAGCATTCCTGGACCCCTCCACCCCCCGACTCCCAACGTCCCCCCTGCCCCCACCCCCAAGCCAGGGACAGCTGCTCCGGAACTCCAGCAACTGACTGGGGAGCTACTCCCAGTTCAGCTTTTCCAGAGGTGGGGAGGCCAATGACCTGGGGCTGGAGACCAGCAGGGGACATGTTGAAAATTGGACAGGGTGAGCAGGAGCCCACTGAGCAGTGGGTCCTGGGAGAGGCGCTGCTGTGGCTCATCTGACCTGCCCCAGGAGGCCTGAGAGCTGACAATACCTAGGAGGAGGTGATGGGGGAGGGGGCAGAGAGGCAGAACTTGGGGGGGGGGGTCTTCCCTTCTCCTTTAAGAGATCCAGCTGTGGCTTCTCTGGAATCCGTAGCCTAGGCTGGACAAGCTTCAAATAGATCCTTATCAAGGCGAGGGAGGGAGGGAGGGCCGGGGAGGGGGAGTTGGAGACAAAGCGAAACAAAATACAGCAAAGAGGGAAAGGTGGAAGAAAGTGGGGCCCCTCTATCTGCCCCCATTCTGCAGCCTGAGGAGAAAGGGAAGGAACAACTTGTCCTGTGGGGTCAGTCGAGTCCAGACTGTCACAAGTGGGCTGAGTTCTGCTTGTGATTAAAAAAGAAGGAAAATGTTCTTCCCACCCTGCTGCAAGAGTATAATAGGGTCCATAGATAGGGAAGTAGAAGGAACCATGGAGCTTGTCCACTCCCACTCCACCCCCCCATTTCACAGATGAGGAAACAGAGGCTTAGAAATTCCCAAGGTCACCCAACAGTGAAACAAAGAGTAGGAATTTGAGCCCAGACCTTTTGACTCCAAACCCCATGCTCTTTCCCAGACCCTGTGTTGTCCTTTCAATCTGCTGGTCTCTGACCCATGAAGTGTTCTAGACTGAGAATCAAGAGATCTAGATTCTAGTCCCAAATCTGTGACCAATTTCTTATGTGACCTTGGGCAAGTCCCTCCTTTGTAAAAGTTGGGGTTTGAATTAGATGACCTTTAAGGTTTCCTTCCAGTTCTAAATTTTTTTGGAAGCAGAGCTGGATTTTAGTGAGAGTATAAGGAGTGTGCATCTCTGTACTCAATTCCAGAGCTGGAGAAGTAATGAGGAATGAAAAACGAGGATCTGGAAAGAGAAAGAAGCTGCCAACAACTAGCATCCTGGATGGCCCTCAGCCAATCAATCCATGATCCATGTCCCCATAGATGAGTAGTTCCTATGGACAGATCCTTGGGGAGGTGGAGATTAAGAGGAAAAATGTGTGTTTGGGTAACTGATGGGGGATACTAATTGATGAAGGACAGTCTGGTCCAGAACCTATTCCTCTTTTGGGTAGAGCTGCTACGGATGTCAGTTCTAGGGGGACAAGATAGAGGCAAAAAGTGGGGGAGCACTAGAAGTTTCCTGGGAGGAAATGGGGTGAGGGCTTCCTAGGAGTGAAAAAAAGCAAGGGGGTGGGATTCAAAGGCACAGTCTTTGCAAAGTTAATTTTTATGATTCTTATCCATATAGATGAGAAACTTCCAGGTCCAAGGTTCCCCTTAAATGGCTGCCTTTATTGGGCTTACAGTTTCAAGCTAAGTGCCTCAGGACTTTGGAATCTTCTCTCTTTTCCCAGTTCCTTTCCTGATTGATCCAACTACTCAGATTACATTATTTCCATTGCCTTCCTCTCACCTAAAATGCTCTTCTTTCTTCCCTAAACTGTCCCTCTATTTTTTTTTATCAACTGTACTCCAAAATTCCCTGCTCCATTCAGTCAGTAAACATTTATTAAGTACCTACTATGTGCCAGGTCCTGTGTTGTTTCAAGAAACCTTTTTAAATTTGCAATTCCAGTGGCTGCATTCTCCCTGCGTCTTCCTCATCTCAACATCTGTGCTGTCTAGTGCTCTGTTCATCCAGAGAATCTGCCTATATCACTCTATCTCTCAATTCTAGTAGTATCATTTTGGCTACAGAATTGTACTATTAGCTGTGTTGGGAACTCCCAGCATGGAAATGCCCTCCATAAACACATATTGGTAACTCCACTGAGATTTATAGTCTTTGTGAGGACAGTTAATGGTTGTTCTTCTGTTTTTGTAGGGATAAACAACTAAAAATCAAAGAGGTGCCAACCAGCTGAGGAGCAGCTGAATAAATTAAGGTATATAAATGTAATAGAATACTACTGTGCCATAAGAAATAATGAAAGGGATAGTTTCAGTGAAACCTAGGAAGACTTGCATGCACTGATGCAAAATGAAATGAGAACCATGAAAATAATTTATGCAATAACATTGCAAAGATGAAAAATTTTTCCCTTTTTTAAAATAATATTTTATTTCCCCCCCAATTACATGTAAAGATAATTTTTAACATCCTTTAAAAATTTTTTTGAGTTCCCATTTTTTTCCCCTTCTTCCCTCATCTTCCCCCTTTCTGAGATGGCAAGCAATTTGATATAGGTTATACTATGTAATCATGCAAAACAGATTTCCATACTAGAAAGACAATTTTGAAAGACATAAGAGCTCTGATCATTATAATGATCAAGAGGAACAAAGCTAAAAGCATGCTACTCACCTCCCGACAGGTGATGGACTCAAGAAGCATAATGAGACATTCAGTTTTTAGATATGGCCATGTAGGAATCTGTTGGTTTTTCTGTTTTGTTGTTTTGTTTTTGGTAAGGTAATCTGGGTTAAGTGATTTGCCTAGAGTCACACAGCTAGGAAGTATTATGTGTCTGAGGCCAGATTTGAACTCAGGTCCTCCTCACTCCAGGGCTGGTGCTCTACCCTCTGGGCCGCCTAACTGCTCTTAGGAATTTGTTTTACTTGACTATGAGCCACGCTTGTAAGAGTTTAAAAAAAAAAGTTTAAAATTGTGGTGGGGAGGGGTATAGATCTGGGCTTTAGGAAGATCATATTAGTAGCTGAGTAGAACATAGACTGGAGTGGAGAGAGACTTGAGGCAGGGAAATCAGCTGACAGGCTATTTCCATAGTCCAGAAGGGAGGTGATAAGGGTCTGAACCAGGGTGGATGTCAGTGTCAGAGGAGAGAAAGAAGCTTCTCTGTTATTGACCAGTCTCTGGCCACTTTCATTCCTTCTTCCTGATCCTTTGTGTTCTAATAGATTTCTCATCACCCTGACCCAACCCCACCTTTCCATTGAAGTCACCAATTATCTGAGTTTACGTAGATTCAATTTGGAGAACGCCAAATAATCTCCCTACCTTTTCATCTTCTGCTATCAATGTTGCTGCATAAGCTTCAATTATTTTCAGGGTGTTCTTTTTGCAAATACTTATCAGTTTGGTGGCACAGTGGAGAGAGTGCTGATTTTGGAGTCAAATCCTGCCTCAGGCTCTTACTAGCTGTGCGGCTTTTAATCTCAGTTTCCTCATTTGTAAAATGGGGAGAACAGTAGCACCTACCTCCAGGGTTGTTACGAGGACAAAATGAGATAATATATGTATAAAATGTTTTGTGAATTTTGAAGTACTGTATAAGCCCTAGCTCTTATCACCATGAGCACTACAATAGAAGATGACTTTGTGTCCCACAGAATAAGATTTCTTGTTGCTATTGTATGCACGGTAAAACTTACTGTACTTATTCCTTTCTTTGTCTCTCCAAGGAGTACCAGTGAGCCACTTTTCCATTTTACTGTAGTTTCCGTTTTCATTTTTCATTTATAAAAGAGAATGCCAAGAGGATTTGATTCAAATCCTTCAATCCCTCCACTCACTGGTCATTGGATAGAGATCCCACATTTTAGAGTAACAACAGTTAGATTAAAGTTTATAGATGGTCTAAAATAAGGGCTCTTAACCTGGAGTTGATGGACCTTCAAAGGTTGCATAGATAGATTTCAGGATATCTGTGAACTTGTATGGGGAAAATATTTTCATCACTGTATTGCAATGTAATTGATTTCCTTATGATCGTGTATATTTCATTTTATGCATTAAAAACATTATTCTGAGAAGAGAGCCACAGGTTTCACCAATATATAAAAGGGGTTCATATCACCAAAAAAAAAGTTAAGAATCCCCTGGTCTTAAGTACAATTCTTAGTACTCTCAATCCTCCATCACCACAGAGGCAGCCTCAGAGGACTCAGCACCATATTGTATTTTTCTTTGTTTTCTAGGTTGCCATGGCCCTAGAATTCATCACCAAATGGTCAATCTACTGGTAATGGGATTCTTCATATTCAACTAGGCTGGGCCTCTGAAAACAGACTTGGTTTGTAGCCAGCGCCATTCTTGAAACCTTTTTTTTTTTTAGTACATTAGAACATTCCAGAGCTTACAGTGGAGAAGAACCAGGAACCTTTTGTTTATTGATAAAAAGTGACTGCAGCTGTCTATCTAATGCAGGTTTCTAGCCAAGCCTGGGGCATTTTGCATGAGACTTCTCAGTTGGTGAGAGATTGCTGACACTTCTTTGCATGCCTGCATGAGGCTCTGAGATGGTGCAGGTGCCTTGGAGAGGGAAACTTCGTATTCTTCAAGGAAGCACATGCATGGTTTGAGACTCTTACCAGGACCAACTCCAGGAGGAAAAAACTGATAGAAGTCCGACAACTAGCTTTAGCCCAAAAGAGCCGTGACCAAAACGAAAGATACTGTGAGACAAAAATACTTTGTCAAGGTCTTCAACATGGAGACAGAGCTCTCTTGAGAAACCTTAGCATTCAGGGGATTCATAAGTCAACTGACAAATGGAAAGCTTCATACAAAGTTGTTGAGAGCAGGGACAATTTGCCCATTTAATTAGCCCCATGGAATGGTGGGGAACTCATTAAGACCTATTGCCTACTGGAGGATTTGTTTCATTTTCCAATGAGCTTAGAGACAGACATAATGGACATTCACCTCCTCAAAGGCTGGGGGGCAAAACCACCAATTAGGAGAGCTTCATGCCAAATGCCCTAGGCTTGCTTAGAAAGTTGGGTTACATATGCTTGTTTTCAATAAAAACAAACTCTCTCCACCCCAGGCTACCCTGTGATTATAGATATGCAGACCTGCATATAGTCTATTCCAGAGACTGGTGCAGCCTTTTGACTGAGTCCAAGCTTTACAAAACAAATCGTTTTATTAAGAGAATTTATTCTGTGAAGTTTGGATTCAGTCAAAGGGTGGCACTTGAGGACCTGGAGGGCCACATTGCCCTCAAGCCACAGGTTCCCCACGCCTGATATTCCTTCATCTATCTACCTACTTGCTGTAAGGGAAGGTTGTAAAAGGGCATGGGATTTACAGCTGGATGGGCCCTTGTAGTTAATCTCATACACACCCCTAATTTGACACAGAAGGAAACTAAGGCCTCATCCAAGGGCACTGCCCATGGGCAGTAGATAGTAAAACCAGAATTCAAACCCATGTCTTCTGACATCCGTTGCCTTCAAGACACCCAGCTTATGAGGGTCATAGGACAGATCACAGATTTGGAGCTAGAGGAGAACTTAGAGTCCACAGAGTCCAATCCTTTCATTTTTAGGATGAGGAAACTGAGGCTGAGAAGGTTAAATAGCTTGCCTGGGGTCACACAATTAATTTTCTGTGACAGGACTTGAATATGGGTCTTTCTGATTCCAAGTTCAATATTCTATCTGCCATACCACCTCTCTTACTATAGAGGATGCCTTTCTCCTGAGAAAAGAGACGAAAGATTATATATTCACTTATTCTATGCTCAGCCAAATCATATTATTTCCTATCCCCTTACACCCTTCTTTCCTTTTCCATGAACCCCAGTGCCTGAATAGACTCTTGCTCCCAGGCTCCACATCATCTCTAATCTTGATCTCTTCCTCCTCTTTCTTTTTTTATTTTATTTTTTAAGCAATTGGGGTTAAGTAACTTGCCCAGGGTCACACAGCTAGTGTCAGGTGTTTGGTCTGAGGTCAGATTTGAACTCAGGTTCTCCTGACTTCAGGGCCGGTGGTCTATCCACTGCGCCACCTAGCTGCCCCTTCTTCCTTGTCTTTCAAGGTCCAAATTGGGTGCTCTCAGTTCCATGATTCTTTTCTTGATCCCAACCAACTATAAATGATCCTTCCCACCTTGAACCTCTTGGGTCATTCTGTTTAGATCTCTCATAGACACATATATTCTAACTTACAGTTATCTGGATATGTCCCTCATCATCCTATTAGAGCATAAGCTCCTAGAAGGCAGGGATAATATCATTTTCTCTTCCTCTACCTAAGAGGGCATAGACTTACAGTCAGAAGGGACCTTAATCTAATCTAATTTCCTTATTTTACAGATGAGGAAACTGAGGCCCAAAGAAAGGAAGCTATGGACACAATCAGTGACAAAGCTTGGACTAAAACCCAAGTCTCTTGACTCTCTTCTTCTAGTTCATTGCCCTTCACACCATACCATCCTACCTCCTAGCAAATAATAGCTGCTTGATAAAAGTTTGTTAGATTATTTACTTACTTGGGACATGCATTAAGTACTGTTGAGTTGGAAGATAAGTTAGGTTTATAAGCCCAGTGAACTCAAGGTGTCAGCCCCAGAGAGGCTGAGATGGTGGGCAGCAGACATCATACCAGAGCCCACAATGAAGACATGTTCTTCCCTTCCGCAGGCCCCTATGAAGGAATGAAGACAATCCTATCTTCATCCCACCAATTCAGCCCCATATAAGTAAGGATTATAGCATCATGGATTTAGAACTGGAAGAGATCCTCAGACTTTCATTTTACAGATGAAGAAGGGGCCATCTCCAGTTGTCCTGACACCTATCTGGCCACTGGACTCAGATGGCTCTGGAGGAGAAAGTGAGCCAGGTGACTTTGCACAGCCCTCCCTCCCTTAAATCCAATTCACTTGCATGCCATGGCATCCACTCTCTGATGCCATGGTCCTCTTTGAGAACGAAGGACAAACAGCAGCAGCAGATGAGGAAACTGAGGCCTAGAGAGATGAAGGTCACACATCTAGTAGTGAAACAAAGCAGAGATTCAAACCCAAATCTCCTGACTCTGGATTCATCATTCTTTCTGTTGTATCATTGCTGACGGCCTCTCTTACTCCCAACAAAGAGTAGCACATAGGGGTGTCCAACCCCAAAATTTGCCTGGATGAGGCCTCACAATAGTCTGGAGAGGTAGGTAGTGTAGGTATTGTTTTTTGTTTTGTTTTGTTTTTCCCCATTTTATGGAGTTTCAGAAAAGTTAAGTGACATGTATCAAATCACACAGCGCTGGGACAGAATTCTAAGCCAGATCCCTCATTACCAAGTAGATACTTGGGAATTAGACCTTGAGTCAGGAGTCTTGGATTCACATAATCCTCGATCTAGAGCTGGAAGGGACCTTGGAGACCATCTAGTCCATTTTACAAAAGACAAAACTGAGGCTGATAAAATTAAGTGATTTATTCAAGGTCACTTAGGTAATACATAACAGGCAGCACCTGAACCGAGGTCTTCTGACTCCAAGGCCCGTGCCCTTTCCAAGCTCTTTTGGGCAAATCATTTTGTCTCTCAAAGCCTTAGTTTCTTCATCAGTACAATGGAAATAATAATGCCTGAACTACCCGCCTCATAGGATTGCTGTGAGGAAAATGATTTCTTTTTTTTTTTAATTATTTTTAGGCAATTGGGGTTAAATGACTTGTCCGGGGTCACAAAGCTTGTAAGTGGCAAGTATTTGGTCTGAGGCCGGATTTGAACTCAGTCCTCCTAGACGTCAGAGCTGGTGCTCTATTCACTGCACCACCTAGCTGCCCCCAGAAAATGTTTTCTGCTGACCATGTTCTCCTACTCAAACTCTAACGGCCTCTGGGATCAAATACAGAGTTTTTAAAGCCTTTTACTACCTGGCCTCAACCTACCCTTTTTACCTTATTATACATTATTCTTCTTCCTGAACTCTTCTCTTCAGTCAAACTGGCCTCCCCTCTGTTCCTCACACACAACATTCCATCCTCCATCTCTGGGCCTTTGCAAGGCCATCCCCCATGCCTGAAATGTCCTCTCTCTTCATCTTAGCATCTTAAAATCCCTTGTTTCCTTCAAAATCCTGCTCAAGCCCCCACCCTGCTAATGAAGCCTTTCCTGACTAGGTGGCACAGTAGATAGATAGAGTGCAGGCCCTGGAGTCAGGAAGACTCATTTTCCGAGTTCAAACCTGGCCTCAGACACTTACTAGCTGTGTGACCATGGGTAAGTCACTTCACCCTGTTTGCCTCATTTTCCTCATCTGTAAAATGAATTGGAGAAGGAGATGGCAAACCACTCCAGTATCTGCCAAGAAAAACAAAACAAAACAAATGAGGTCACAACAACAACAAACACAACTCCCCCACATACCTGCTTATGCCCTCCCTCTTCCAATAATTTACCTTGTATTTATTTGGTATATGCTGATTCATGGCAATGTTATCTTCCTTTCTTTTCTGTCTTTGTATCACCAGCCTGAGGCAAATTGTCTCGGTATAACATACTCTAAAAAGGAACACTGGCTCTGAAGTGGGAGGACCTAGGTTCATGCCTTATCTCTGAGGATTATCATCTGTCAGACTTTGGACAAGTCATTTCATCTCTCTGGGCCTCAGTTTCCTCATCTGTAAAATTATGGGATTAGACCAGATGCCCTCTGAGGTCCCTTTTAGCTCTATATCTGTGATGCTAATAAATGCCTGTAGATCGACTGGTTGTAAAGCTTAAACTGCTGTAAGTGGGGTTTTTTTTGTTTTATGTTTTTATTATACATAAATACATATATATGATATGCATATATAACATCAAGCTGCCTCTCAGAGCATCCCTATCACCAGACCTTCACTTGAGGACCTTAAAGCACTCTCAGACATGATGCATAAATCCTGAAGATAATATTAATAACACCTAGCACTCATATAGCGATTTGCAAATATTATCTCATTTAATCCTCACAACAACCCTGAGAGGTAGGTCTATTATTATCCCCATTTTACAGATGAGGAAACCCAGGCAGGCATCAGTTAAGTGATTTGCCTAGGGTCACATAGCTAGTAAGTGGGGCATATGGGGTGTGAGGGCTTTCTGAGCCCTTTTCAGGGCTGCTCAAGCACCTTTGGTGTCCACCTGCCACCCAGCAGAATGGGCAGATAAGGACAATTTGTTCCAATGGCCATGAATATGGCTGAAGCGGGTACTGAGGAGCACTTAGAGTTTGGTCAGACCTAAGGATGCCAAGGTCATCCACTGCATCCCAGACCACCATTGCCAGTCCTCTCGACTTTTGTCCCGCCACTGGACTTCAACAACTCTGGAACAGAGAGTGAGGCTAAAGACTTTGTGCAACTCTGCCTCACTTAAGTCCAATTTACATAGGAGTCAAGACATCACACAGGAGTCAAGATACCACAATGTGATATCATTGGTCCTCTCTGAAAACGAAGGATGAACAACAGCTAGTTAAGCATCTGAGGCAGGATTTTAACTTGGGTGTTCTAGATTCCAAGTCTTATGCTCTGTATATACACTAGTTGCCTCAAGATGGAAAATGAGAGTGGGAGTGAAGTTGAGGGTGGAACCAAGGAGGAAAGGGACTGAGTGGGCTTCCCCCTTCTTAGAGAGTGGTAACTATTGTGGAGCAACCAGGGTTCTGTCCTCGGGCACAGAAATTTAAAGAGACACATTCATTCCTCATTTAGCAAATAGAAACAATTTATTTTAGCTCCTAGTGAATAAGAATAATTAGTTAAATAAGATACCAGATAGGATTCGTCTTCATTCCCACTGCCTTCCTGCCTTGGCCATACATAGGATGAACTTTTTACCACCATGGCTCCACTTTCCTTTCTCCTAACTCTACCTTCAAGCCTCCCTAGTAGTGACCTCACAACATCCCAGGGTCTGTCTATCCCCACCTCTGCACATACACATACATGGATCAGTCATCTCCCATGACCTCTGAATTTGTCTTTAAAAGTGAATTGAGGGCATGGTTCATGCTGCTTGCCCCAGGTGCCAGAATCTCTATTTATGGTTCTGCCTCCTTGAGCAAATGAGAAAACTGAGCTGATGTGGCAGTAATGATGATGGTGAAGGTGGTGGTGGTGGTGGTGGTGATGGTGGTGATGGTGATGATGATGATGATGATAACTGAGAAACATTGTGGTAGAGTAGATAGAGAGCTGACCTCAGTCAGAAAGACCTGAGTTCATGAACTACCTCTGACATATACTGCGGGTATGACGCCTGGGCAAAGCACTTAACTTAATCCCTGTGCAGCTGACTCTCTAAGACTGTAAATTATAGAGCAGGTACCCATTTGTCTTAGGAGAAAGCCACCTCATTTCCTTTCACCGATGAAGGTTTGGTTTGGTCAAAGAAACAGTGAATACTAAGAAAATTCACGTTGATGGTCGATTGTGCGTGCTGGACTTGGAGTAAGGAATCCTGCCTTCCGACTCCCAGCTCTGACACTATAGCCGTATTGTCATGGGCAAGGTACTTCTGCCTTTTTTTCCTCATCTGTAAAATGGGTATAATATCTACTTCACAGAATTATTGGGAGGAAAAAGTACCTTCCCTGGAACTCAAAGTCCTAGTATTACAAGTCTAATACATTGTAAGGCGCTACATTTTATTCTCAAAAAAGTCTTGTGAGGTAGACCAGACAGAGGTTGCTATCTCCACTCTATAGAGGGAAAAATTCGGAGAGGTCAAGGGACTTAACCGAGGTCACACAGCTGGTAAATGGCACGGCCCAGGCTCAAGCCAAGTTGTCCTGACTGTTAGGGAATTGGAGCACTCCTTCATTGCTAAATATTACTTCCCTCAGAGAGAGAATGAACTCAGGAGTCCAGAGCCCAGGCAGCCTTCTCATTTTCAAGGAGACTCATTCAATCTACATTTATTTAAACATGCACGGCCCTGTGTAGGCTAATTGCTAGAGGGGATACAAAGGCCAATGAAATTAAGCCCTCTAACCTCAGGCTCCCCCAAAGAGAAAGATTATTTGTCTTAGAAATCCCACACTCTTTAAAATCATTTACGGATTTGGGAATAGCCTAGGGAGGGAGTAAGGGGGGAAGGTTGGAAGGAAAAGGAATAATTAATGTACAAATGGCTTTTTAAAGATGCTATTATGTTTCTAGAGGAAGCCTGGCAATGGATAGAATATTGGCTTTGGAATCTGGGAGACCTGGATTCAAATTCCGTCTCTGAGACTTATTAGGTATGTGACCTCGTACTCTGGGACTCATCTCCTGAGTCATAGATGAGTTGACTTGATCTGAATTAGTAGGACTGCCTTATGCTATTGTTAATGCTAATGTGCTTCCTTTGGAGAGTTCAGAGGCCAGAAGACAACCCTTTAAGTCTCTGTGCCTCTATTTTCTCATCTGTGAAATGAACTGTCACAAACTATTAAGAATTTTAATGACCTTAAATCAGAGGTGACAAAACTTAGCTCACAATACTCCTAAATGCAATCCAAACCAGATTAAATTATAATTGGGAAATATTTAGCAAAATAAAATAAAATGTAGATAATGTTAATATATAGTTTTCTAAGTCAATGTGTGGCTCATGGGGATCCTTATGTATTGGTTTAGTGGTCCCAGTTTCTATTTGAATTTGACCCTAATGGCCTAAATCAACGCCCTCCTTTTACAGGTAAGAAAGCTAAAGCTAAACTCGGGTACATAACTTACCCAACATCACACAATTAGTTAGTGGCAGTGCCAGGACTCAAACCAGGCTGCTCTCGACTGCTAGTTCAGTAC